GCGAGATCAGCATAAGGACCGAAAATTAGACACTATTTACGTCTATATATTAGAGACCGCAGGAAGGGGGGGGAGTCCGTGGTCCATAAAAAGTTGTTCATGCTCCCCCACCTGTTGCACTACTGTAATTACATTTACCTGTAATTACCTGTAATACGTCAATGTATTTACGTCTATGTATTCGAGACCCCCGGGGGGGGGAGGGGCGTGGTCCCTAAAACGTGGTTCATGGGCCCCCACCTGTTGCACTAATTACCCGTAATTACCTGTATTTACCTATAATTGCCTCTAACTACCTATAGGGGGGAGGGGGGGAGGGGGGCCGTGGTCCCTTAAAAGTTGTTCATGGGCCCCCATCTGTTGCACAGCCTAGTGCCAGCAAAATGATTTGCTGCGTCAGCAAAATGATTTCCTGCGTCCGCAAAGTGATTTGCTGGGTCAGCAAAATGATTTGCTGCGTCAGCAAAATGATTTGCTGCGTCCTCAAAATGATTTGCTGCGTCCTCAAAATGATTTGCTGCGTCAGCAAAATGATAAGCTGTGTCAGCAAAATGATTTGCTGTTTCACCAAATTATTTCTTGTGTCAGCAAATTGTTTGCAGTTCCATGAAAATTGTTTGCTGTGTCAGCAAAATGATTAACTATGTCAGCGAATCATTTGCTGAGTCAGCAAATTATTCGCGACGTCAGCAAATTATTCGCCGCGCCAGCAAAATTATTTGCCCGTCATATTAGCCACGCTAATTTAAGGGGAATTCCTTAACCACCTCTAACTTTGCCTTTTTACGTTTATTTACACTGTAAAAAATCAGACTTGGATACGGAGCCTGTTACGGCGTTTCGGACCCCACTTTTGGGAGTGATTTTTGAAAACGGTTCGGAGATTTACCGTACCTGGCCACCGTACGAACGATTTTTACGTGGGCTAGCATAGAGAATGGGGTACGGAACGCCGTAACAGACTCCGTACTCAAGACGAACACTTCCGGATCAAAATTAACAGGACTTTTTCCGTGCCGTTCCGTACCCTGGCTTCGTACCCACGTTTTTTTTAAACAAACCCGATTCCACCACACGCGCCGCGCGCGGGGGGGCAGAGCGTCATGTCGCCGCGACCACCTGTTGGAGTGCAATTCCACATTACCTCAGTACTGCCAACAATCGACACTGTGCTGAAAGCCCCGCCCGCCGCCCCTTTGTTGAGTGTACCCAAAACAGAGAGAGAAATGAAGTAAATTTTTAGAATGTTACAGCCACCAAGCTTTCTGGTGGTCAACCGAACTTTCTGCGGTGCACACATTTACGCTACCACACTGACAACATAGTTTCAGTCCAGGTACCAGGTGGTAGTCGGTGCCTTGGTCAGAGCGAACACCTCCATGTTCAGTGTTGCGGGTCGGCATACCACTTCATGCTGCAGGGGCCATGACGCAATATGGGCTGACAGCATAGGCTAACTTACAACACTGTTACATCCCGTTCAAGAGAAAATTTTGACCTCTTTATTAACATTAGGATATATACTATTGTGAATAGCTTGCTTGATCTCGACTCAGTAGGATAAAAGAGAGAGAACGTATTCGTATGAATGCTGAACCAGAAGTGAGTTTATTGAGACCATCAGAAACAAGGAAAACATTACACAGATAATCAAGTGGGCGGTGGTTGAAGAATAAAAAGAAGGACATACAATGAGGCCTATTGCCAACGTTAAAATAATTAAATATACACAACACCCCCACACAATTGGCCGAATACAAATCAGCAAAGAGAAATTAATGGATGGTCACAGAGCAAGGTCACAGCAAAGAGAAACAATACAGTACACATATAAAATAATGAAAAGTATCACAACACATGAATAAAGTAATAAAATGTAATACAATGCAAAGAGTCAGTAATATTGAGAAAAACAGCAAAATTACAATCACATGAATGAGGCAAGAAACATCAGAGTTTTACATACAAAAATTTAAGTTGCTAGGGTGGACAAAACCATTCCAGCAACACAATATTGATGTTGGACTCTAGTACAGGCTTTGGTAAGGACATCAGCTAACCTTTTTTCAGTTGAGATATGTTGAAGAGTCAGAAGTTTTTCTTCTACCACTTGCCTGATGTAGTGGTACCTCATGTCGACATGACGAAGCTTTCTGGAATTCTTCCCTCCAATTCGTAGAATGTCTACAACGGCTTTGTTGTCACAGAAAATTTGAAGTGAAATTCCAATTCCACAGACTTCCTTGAGGAGATTCTTGACAAAGATAGCATCCCTTGCCGCCTCTGACGCTGCCACGTACTCCGATTCAGTGCTGGAGAGTGCCACAGTCCTCTGCTTGCGGGAGCACCAGCTCACGGCGGACCCACTCATCAGGATAAGGTGGCCTGAGAAAGAAGCCTGTTCTCCTACGCTCTGCCACTCTGGGAAAAGTCTACATATAACTATGTTCCCCAATTTAAAGCACGCGGACTTAAAATTAAAGCTGTATCATCTGCTGCCACGTTAGCGCAAGCTTAGGTGACGCTAGTGACGCTTTTTGGAGTTTGGGTTTTTTTCTCTCTTGGAGGGCTACTCTACTCAATGCACTAGGTAAAAGCTTGTACAGGTTCTTTAAACCTTTGCCGAGGTAAATGGACTATTGGAGCCTTAGAATAAAAGTTTGAAGACCCTTAGAAATGGGTCGAAAGCAAGCCCTGCATTTGTCACTTAGTGCCCCGGCCCGGGGCACTTAGTGACAGTCGGTGAAACAAATATCTCTACGTAATTTTCACGCTCTAAAAGGATACTTCTTATAGAGTGACACATATTTTAACGATTGTATTGAGAAATAAACAGTACAAAGAAACAGAAAACATTTTTTTCGTTCTGAAACCAATGTGGAACATATATTAAGGAAACATGAGA